AATTTTAATATTTTTAACGTTTGACAATGTATATGATAGATACATATTTTAGTTATTTTAATGTGTGAACATGGCATGCAATGAACTGGTTTGACGTGGATAAGTAAGCACCTGAAGATGGCATTATTATGCCGAAACATGTAGTGCGAGGGAGAGAAGGAGATAAATGAGTGTATGCACTGCAAGACGGATTAAATAAATCATGGTCATAATTTTATGTTGAAAATTGTAATAAAATATATCTCTTGAGATATAAATGGGAGAATAATATTAAAATTAGTCTCAGAGAAACTGGTTATCAGGACGTAAACTAGCACAGGCCACAATCTGGTGTTAAATCTTGTTATGAAGTTTGAATTTTTGCAGATTATCTGAATGTTTGAATGTCTTACCAAATTTTTCTAACTATATTAGGGGGTGACTGACCATTGAATTATAACATCCTGCAGTCATTAGTTGAACATTTTCAAATATGACATCATACTGCCCTGAGTTTATCATGAAACTCACAACATTTTGCATCCATGATGTGTCTGTAAAGCTCTGTTTCTTCTGGAACTTTCGTTTTGTAATGGATTCTGTAATTTGCCCCATTTTCCTGTGTTCCAGGTGTATTCACAAGCCTATGGATCCCATTTCCATTCAGCTGTGTGATGCACACAGTAATCTGCCTCATTCTGCTGTGTTTCAGATGTATTCACAAGTCTGTGGATCCATGTTCCCTTCAGCTGTGTGAACAAAGGTGTTCTGTTTACCTGCAGAAAGTTGTGTGCACCTGTTTCCCAGGTTACAGGTTTAATGCAGAGAAACAGAAGCAGGGACTGAAGCCAGTGTGTGAGGGTAAGATGTTGACTATTCAGATTAAGAAAAATCTACGAGTATTTGGTATCAAAATTAAACATCCAAAATGTTACAAGATTTAAGGTTTCCATGGTAATAAAGATTCACATGGTGGTTTTCTGTGTTACGGCACTATGTTTTTTTCTGGTAATCTGCTATTATAAAGACTTCATGAAGAACTTAAAAATCTTAGAAAATGAAATAAAGCTAAAGGAAGTATATTCATTTTCATCTCATGTGGACACAAACAATTTGGAGGAATTTATTGCTTCTGTCTACCCAAAGAAGGGGCACATCGTATCATAGTTGGTTGAGGCACAGTATACTATGAGCCAGAAGGTCGTGGGTTACATTCCTGATGTCGCTGGATTCTTCAATTGATTCCAGCCACACTATGGCCCTGGGGTTGACTCAGCCTCTAACAAAAATGAGTACCAGGAATCTTCCAGGAGGTAAAGGGGGTAAGGCTGATAACCTCCCTGCCATCTGTGAGCTGACTGTCTAGAAAATATGAGAGCCTCCATGTTCTGTTACAGGAATATCTTTACCTTTTATCTACCCAATAATGGAAGTAGTATACCCAGAACCAGAATCAGTCTGGTTGCTGTGGAGAACAGAAAAATAACTTGTCTCTCCTAGGAATCAAACATCACTTCCAGGCTGTAGCCTAGTCTCTATAATGACTAAGATATAACAGTTCCTCTTTAAGGATTTATGTCCAACATAAACTTTTTAATTATTGGTTTATGTTCCTGAAACTTCGATTTCAACTGCCTGAATAAAGTTCACTTTTGTGCAGTTACTATTATGATTTTCAAACAGTGACCCAGATCAGTTCAAAGCACCAGTGTCAGTATAGTGATTGTCTATGGACAGGATGACTGGGTTTTAATTCATGATAGGGGAAGCCATTTTTATTTTTGCCACCATGTTCAGATTGACTCTCCACTTGCATCTCATTCAATAGGATCATTCCCTGGGTGTAAAATGGCCAGGACATGAAGTTACCACTTACGTACGTCTAATACCGAGGTTAAGGATACATGGAGTATACCTCCACTTTCCAATTTGCCTTCAGAATGTAGTGCTTTATTTAGACAGGCACATTATTTTTACCTCATTATGTTTATCTTTTTAACAGATGTGGATGAATGTGAAGAAGGGAGCTTAGATTGTGAGCACACATGTATTAATACTGTGGGTAGTTACAACTGTGCATGCCGAGATGGGTTTTCCCTGCGAACTGACAACCATACATGTGAGCCTAATCAACATCCTGAAGCACAGGAGGACAGGTTAAACCAAGCTGCCACTAGGGACCGTTGCTTTGCAAGCTGTGACACAGTAGCACGGCTTCATGATAAGCTGAACAGTATGCAGGAGAAGGTATGTGGTTACAATCCTCATAGTTAAGATAATTGTTTCAGTGTTGTGCTGAAGAACGCACCGTCACTATCAGAAATTTTAGGCATATTTAGTTACTATGACACAGGTCCTGTTAGTTCTACATAAGATTTCAGGTTCTCCTATTGGTGAGTGTTGTGATGTATGGATGTGAAACATGGTTCATGAATGAAAACAATACAGTTATGTTAAATATGTGGGACAGGAATATTCTGAAGTGTATTAACCTGTAACTGAGCAAGGAGTCTGAGATAAGAACTAACAATGAATTGAGGGAATTATAAAAACCCCTAAACTGGTAGCAGATATTTGAAGGCAAAGGTTGGAGTGGTCAGGGCATGTGATTAGAATGGATCAAACAAGGATGAAACATTAATTTTTTTTTCAGTCACAAGGTAGAAGTGTGAGATTTGAAGTTGTCTCAGCAGTGACTATGAAATATTACTGCCTTCTTGGACTTGATGCTCTGTAGGCAGGTAGATTGTTATGAACGTTTCAGAGAACATAACTTTTCAATCTTCAGGGCAGAAGGTGGAGACAGCACATCCCAGAGGACAGTAAGCTTCCATTACTTTAAAATGCTGGTTACCATGACATAATTTAAGAATTTGCTTCAGGTGCCATCTGTACTGTGGATCTCTGATTTAATCCAAGTTTATAATAATGTCACAGATGACAATCTTACACATAATTTATATAAATTTATTTAGTGTATGTGTGCCCAGTGGGTCATGTAACATGTACAGTATGCTGTGACTCATGGCAACAAATGTGTTAAGATCCATTTTAATATTATCCTTCTAGCTGCACCTAGTACAAATATTATGTTTTTGGACATTATTAGAGACTAGCTCTATCGACTGGGCCCAACTGAGTAGGTTTTATCTGATGACACAGACAGAATCCAGTTTCCAAAATGTCCTTTTGAAAAATAAACAGGATGGTATTTAGGTAAAGACAGGACGATGGATAATGTCCAAGAACATAATATTTGTACTAATGTACCATAGTTACAAACTTTCAGATATTATTAGCTGCACCTAGTTTTCCCACGTGGTCTCAAGGTTTTATAATTAAAATGTTGTACATGTCCTTGTTTCTACCATGCATGCTACATATACTAACACCTATACTCTTACAATAAAAGCACATACTACTTTCCAAGCCTAACCGCATGTGTAAAATGATGAACTACTACTCCATCTCCCTTTCCGTCACTTCAGGTTCTTAGCTGCATGGTTGTTCGAGTCCTGGTAGGGTCAAGAATTTTCTCTTCTTGATGTCATCCACACTGGCTCTGGGACCCACCCAGCCTCTAATGTACAATGGGTACCTGAGGATCTTTCCCTAGGGGTAAAGTGGCCTGGGAGTGAAGCTGACCACTCACCTCAAACTAGTGCCAAGGTCAAGAAATGTGGATCTACATATCCATTCCAAAATACACCTTTATTGTGTAGTGCTTAATTAGTTGAGCACAGATACAACTTTACTTTTTACTTTTATGGTTGGTGAGTGAGTGATTTCATTCATATCACTTTGTAGCCAAACCTTCCTGCAATCCCAGCCCACTGTTAGACCCATCTCTTTCCTTACCTACTCAGTAGTCAGCTTGGTCATGTAATATACAACATATGATACTCATACTGCATTACTAGATCAAACTCGCTGCATGAATTTGGAAATACAGAATTAAATAGCATATAAAATGCTTATCACACACCACTTTCTTTACAAAGGTCTTAGCCCTGATGACTGCTGTTCGGCTTTCAACATTAACACCAGGTCCACCAGGCCCCATGGGCCCACCAGGCCCTTCTGGGCCTCCAGGGCCTAGGGGATTTCCAGGTATGTAGCTATTTCCCAATAAATAGCAAACATGAAAGTTAATTAAATATGGTGTTTGTATGGAACACACAAAATTACAGAACATAAGGTCAGTCAAAATAAAATAAACTGTTTTAAGACTTATCTGAAGGATGCACACACATCTGCTGGATATATTGTAGTAAATAACTGGGGAAATAGTTAAAGAATTGTGTGTCAATATATGCATGATATAAACAATTGTCCAATTATTTAGAGTAATGTGTTTGGAATTCTTTTACCTAAGATTTAGAAGTTAACTGAACCAGATGACAAAATATATGGAAAATATTATAAATGAAAGCTGAAGATCTATGAGCATGTTTATTGTATAAGCAAATTCTGTTACAATTGGCATTTTGGGTTAAGACACCATGAAGTGTTCAAAGTGAGTACTAACATTCTTCAGGAACATACTATCCTTCCCTCCTCTCATAGTTCTGTGACCAGAAACCATTTCATCATGCTCTTAATGTATAAAGGCTATTAGAACCCCATTTCATTATTCCTATTAGCTACACAGGACTCTATGTTTCTATTTCTTTCCCACCCCTGTGATTTCTAAGTAATAAACTTCCATATCACCCTGCCTATACAACCTGGCCACATTCTCATCCCCTTCACTTCTACCTTGAAAATGGAAGCACTGTGTTCCTTTAATATGTTGGCATACTCCTACAAGACTGTATGGTGTCAGTACAATCTAAACACCCACTGCCATGAAAACCTCAAAATTTATAAATTCAGTTCTGGCCTCTAAGTTTTTCCAACCTGATTGCTACTTGTGTGGGTTCATTATGGGCACAGTTCCAGGCCATCAACAGCATGCATCATCCCACTATTGTTACATTCCTTTACAGTTTTAGTTTTATATAAATCTGTTTCAGGTCCTGAAGGAAGTTCTCCAGGAGCTGATTTTACTTACAGCCTACTGGACTCTTATGTAACTCCACAAATAAATGAAGGACCTGGATTCTGTCGTTGCAAACGAGGACCAGTGGTAAATATCTTACCTCCTACTGGAGGTCTAAAACATGTAATTATGCAAGAGAACAGACTGAAATTTCTGATAAAGTTCAGATTTATCAGTAGGAAAGGAATAACAGGAGATATATACAACCTGAGTGGTATATACCAGCTATAATGTGGCAAATGCCCACTCAAATATATCAGACAGACAGGACACACACATTCAAAGTCTGCTATAGTGAGCATATAAATGCTATCAGGACTAATAAATAAGATTCTAAATTCACACAACACATTTCGGAAACTGGACATACATTTGAAAAGATGGACCAGAGCTTGAAAGAAAGTAAGGGACCCAAACTCAACACATTAGAAAGATATTATATAAAAGTAAAGGTATCCCTATAACAGGCCGTGGGGGCCCATAGGGCTGTGAGACGTTGAGGTTCCTACATTTTCTAGACCATCGGCTCACAGATGACGGAAAGGTTGTCAGCCCTACATGTCAGTCACCCTTTACCCCCAAGAATATTCCAAGAATATTCCTGGTACGCGTTTCTGTTAGAGGCTGAGTCAACCCCAGGGCCATGGTATTAGGTCAATTGAAAAAATTCAATGACCTCATCTGGACTTGAACCTGCAACCTTCCGGCTTGTAGCATAGTGCCTCAATCAACTACGCTACCACATGCCCCCAGAAAGATACTATATATATATGACATAATGAAGAAAGGTCTGAAGATGAATGATACTTATTCGACATTCTAGTAAAAAATACACACACCAAATAATCCCACCCCTTCCACATCTCTCCAACCACTCACAGTATCCTCCCCCTACCTCATACCACTCAACTCTATACAAACAAGCATATACGAGATACCCCCCAAACAAGTAGTCTAGACTGAACCGCTACAACATAGCGACAACATCAACACATATCATCATAAGAAAATCTAATATACGTAAGTACACATACTAAATAACCTAATAACACACTCAGAAGCTTTGCCTTACAATAATTAAAAAGACTGTTACAGATCACTCCAAATAAACAACCTGTTGGGTCACATACAGAATAACGAGCATAAGCTCCACAAGAGAATAGTAAAGTCAAGACCACACGACCTAGCTTATGTTAGAAGATCCCGATACGCAGGCGCCCCACACTATAGTCGCTTCTACCACCAGAAAATCATTGTCAACACAAAGCGGTCACAAAGTTTTAAAGAGGTTTATCGCAAACTATTCCATTTCCATTTTTGTACAATTTTACTTTTTTGTTTTAATATTTTGTCTTTAATTTTTAAATTGATTACATGAGTATTTTAAATTTTAACTGAAAGATTCAATTTATGCACTCAAGAGCACATTATTGAAGAATTAGATGCAAATAGTCAGATGCAATTCAACAATTGAGTCTGGTTTCATTGTACACCCGATGATGACTCAGTATAGAGGTCAAAACATGTAGCATCAATAAAAACAAATGTTGATACAATAGTGTGTACTTTGTTTTTAAATATAGAATACTGTTGTGTAGACTGCATACTTTTATATACATTTATATACCTTGTTTATGAGTATCTGTCTGGGTATACCAAAAAAAAAAAAAAAGGTTTTTAGAAAAGACTACAATCTAAATTGTATATAATATTACAATATTATATTATTATATTTTTTAAAAGTTTAACCCTTTCATCATGGCAAGTGGTAGCATAGTTAGTTGAGGCACTATGCAACAAGCTGGAAGGTTATGAGTATCTGTCTGGGTATACCGCAAAAATAAAAGGTTTTCAGAAAGGGGTATTACCCTAAAGACTACAATCTAAGTTGTGTATAATATTACAATACTATATTATTATATTTTTGAAAAGTTTAACCCTTTCATCAGGGCAAGTGGTAGCATACTTAGTTGAAGCACTATGCTACAAGCTGGAAGGTTGCAGGTTCGATTCCCAATGGGAGATCAATGGATTTTTCAATTGACCTAAATCTTCTAGCCACTGTGGCCCTTGGTTTGACTCAGCCTCTAACAGGAATGGGTACCAGGAATCTTCCTGAGTGTAAAAGGAAATCAGTGCATATGGCTGAGAACCTCACATCATTTGTGAACTGATTGTCTAGAAAATGTGGGAGCCTCGACATCTCACTACCATATGGGCCCCTGTGGTCTGTTACAGGGGTAGTTTTATCTTTATCCCTTTATTCTTCAAGCAGACATACCACCTACACTAGATTTCTGTAGAAGTACAGAGTGGGGTGCAGAAACTTCCTTTTTTTGAAGGCAAATAGAAGAAAAATTATTGCTGATAGACAAAATTTATGTTTAGCTAATGAAAGAACATACTTTAAGATTTTAAATCATGTAGTTTGAAACAAAATATCTTGAAGGTGGTGGCCACCATTCTCTATGCACTGATGCAACCGTTTTCTGAAGTTCCCCTCTGCACATTCCAACATGTGCACCGGAATTTGGGCTACTTCCTGCCGAATAACATTCTTCAGCTGAAGCAGGTTTGTGGGGCAATATTTAAAAACCTCTGTCTTGAGGTATCCCCATAAAAAAAAATCATAGGGCATTAGATCAGGTGAGTGCACTGCCCACGGGATGTCACCTTGAAGCGAGATGAGCCGTTCGGGGAACTTTGCCCTCAAAACTGTCATCGAAGCTCAGACTGTGTGGGCCGTGGCACCATCCTGCTGGAACCAGACATTTCCTAGATGCATTTCTTCAAGAGCTGGTTCGAAAAAGTTTTTAATCATGTCCACATACCGCTGTGAATTTACAGTAATTGCACGATTGTCTTCTTCAAAAAATTAAGGGCCAATAACTCCAACTCTTGACAACACACACCATACTGTCACCTTATCATTGTAAAGCGGCCTCTCATGGAGCTCTCTGGGATTGTTACCACTCCAATAGTGCATATTCTGCTTGTTGACATATCTGGATAGGTGAAAATGTGCCTCATCACTAAAGAAAACAAGTGCGTCAGGGGGTAAAGTTTCCAAAAATGTTTCGCATGCAGTTATTCGGCTCTGGAAATCATGTGGTGACAATTCTTGCATAACAACCATCTTATAGAGATGGAAATTAAGATGTTCGTGAAGAATTCGGTGCACTGAACGACTGGATATGTCTAGGGCGACTGCATGTTTGCGAGCGGAGCATCTTGGAGATCTCAAAATCAACTGTTGAACTGCCTCCACATTTTCTGGCATCATAACGGTCCACTGTCGTCCTGATGATTTTTTCACCACACTCCCGGTTGTCCTAAAGTTCTCTACCCACAAAAAAATCGATTTCTGGTTGGGAACCGGACCTCTGGACTTAATTCCGAAGTGAGTATGGAACGCACGCTGCACCGCCACGTAGGATTGGTTGTTTGAAAAACAGGCTTGACAGCAAACACATGCTGCTCACTTATCCACCTCATGTTTCCTACTGAGGAGTATTAGACAGAAACTTCCGCGACTGCTGTGTTCGCCGAGCCTATCCCCACTTTTCTGCGACCTCCCCTCCCCTCACAATGCGTCTTCACAAAAAGGCAGTTTCTGCGCCCCACCCTGTACATCTAAACTATTATAATTTTTCTTTTTATTCTCTGAATTTTGCTTGGAAAATAAAAATTCACTGCCTCTTAAACTTAAAAGTACATTATTTCAACAGGCATGGAAATCAAACATTCAAAGAACACAAAACATAACGTTTACTTATAATAAAATGCTGTACTGTTGAGACTTGGAAGCACTGAGTGAAGAACCTCCAACAGTTCAACTGATTTCACAATTTAAGAAATAACATTATCAAACCTCAGAATTCATTCCTGCCATCATAAACGCTTTGATAACACTTCAATTTCATTCATATCCTAACCACTGACCACCCCCCCAACCCCAAAGAAGAAAGCTGAAGTTTTATGTTATAACCTCATAAATCTTACCTATGCTTTGGTCCCCTCAAGGCAGCATGTCCCTTACCAAGTATGGTTACTGTTTTGTTCATGCAGGTTACATGCTCAGCCAATATTAACCTCAATTATTTATTATTTCAACAATACTAGCTGAAAAAATATGTGAAGATCATGTCTCCAAACACATGTAAATTTCATTCTATTGCTTACAGAAAAGTTTATTTACACTTTTTTTCAAATAAGGATATTCCACTTACATCTATAAGCTCTTTACCATTATACAACTCTATTTATTATGTAATTGTTGCATAAACTTGGGGATACTTGTAAGCTCTTTGGTCTAAATATTCTCAACTTTTCTTCCCTCAATTTAAGAAACCACATATCACCATATAAAACCATCACCTGGCATGCAGTTTATCATTTATATGGACCTTTTAGGTCCTGCTGCAAATGTATACAAATTACCAGGTTATAAGAAAATTAACTGTAACTAAGAGAAAGGAAAATGATTTTGTGAAATTCCAGAGGTGCTTTATTTTTAGATAACTGAATAACTAAGAATTTGTTGATATTCAAATTGGCAAGAAGTCAGAATTTTGGCCTATAGATAAAAATGTCCCTGCTAAATTGATTAAGCACCATGCCCCCAACTTCTCTTCCCCAGGGCAAAAGCCAGTAGATACTGGATCATCCCAGAGCTGGTCTGGACTCTGTGGACTCTTGCCCCACCATGAATCATATTCTTTGGCCGTCCACTCTGTATGTAGCCAGTACCTGTAAAAAGTAAAGCTATCCCTGTAACAGGCCATGAAGGACCATAGGGATGTGAAATGTTGAGGGTCCCACATTATCTAGACAATCGGCTCAAAGATGGCGGTAAGGTTGTCAGCCTTACACGCCGGCCGCGCTTTACTACCCAGGAAAATTATTTAATTAATTCCTGGTACTCATTTCTGTTAGAGGCTGAGTGAACCCCAGGGCCATAGTGCGGCAGGAAGGATTAGGTCGGGATTTGAACCCGCGACCTTCCGACTTGTAGCATAGTGCCTTAACTACTACGCTACCGCGTGCCCCCTGCCAGTACCTGCACTTAATGAATAAACATTCAATGTTTAGGCTTCACTGTTCAACAACATTATATACAATGAAATCAAATTAAATATATTAATTCAATATATTCTTCAGTGTCATACTGCATCTGAGCACTACATTAAAAGAATGAAGCAAATAGTATTTTAATTCAGTCTAAATTCAGAGAAGACTTTTTTCTCTCAACTGTAATCATTGTAACCTTTCTTCTCTTGTAGACACAGAATAAAATACATTGGCAGTAAAATGAAATACATTTTAATTAAATACAATCATAAATATGGTTGGGAGATCAGAGTGATTGTTGAATATACAGTTTTGGAAGTGTCATATAATTATCATGAAGACTTTTCAATTTTCTCTGCAGCTTCTGTTCAAAATATTTTTCATGCTGATAAATCCAAAAGCACACATAGGCCTCCATGTGAAAGTGGTCCAATGGCTCAAAAAATTTTCATTAAATTACCCAATATCAAATTTCATGAAAATCCATTTGGTGACACTCGTGTGCCTTCATTTGAAATGTTCATAATGGTTTGCACTACCCAAACTCACTCTTCTCATAATCTCAGCATGAATTTTGTCACTAGCTTCTGAAGAAGCACTCTGTTCCATGAACTTCTTGTTTTCAGATTTTCAGAATGGGTCTACTCTATGACTTTATCCTGCATTCAAAACATGAAATGTGACATGCAGAGTACATGCCAAGTTTTACATTCTACAGGGTCCTCCCGGCCCACCTGGAAGAGAAGGTCTGAAGGGGTCACAAGGAGAACAAGGACCACGTGGGGTCAAAGGGAAGCCTGGATCATTTGATTTCCTACTGCTGCTTATGGCAGACATACGGCACAACATCAGACAATTGCAGGACAAGGTGTTTGGTGATCATGGGTAAGTCTCTTGGCTTGTGACAATATGCAGTCTGCTAGAAATTTAATGACATTCTGGAGGAATGTGCTGTGGCCATCTTCATCTACTGGACAAAAGACAGAAGCAGCATATTCCTCCGGAACATCAGCAAACTTTAAGACTATATGGCATCACACCACGGAAGTGTTATCTTCATAGCCATCATCATGTAAACCTGCAATTGCACAAACCTAGATTTTATTATTCTGGCAAGGTAATCTACTTTTCTAATGAAATCTCATACCAATTAAGTTGGGCCAACTCATAAAGCATAAGCTGGGTTCACAAAAGCACTGCATTATCATACAGGTAGTATCATAAGCCTATGATGTTAGTGCAATGTATATCTGACTCTGACAGTTAAGAGACAATTTTTGTGACATAGTTTACACCCCTCTGAGAAACCCTCTTGCCTGCTGCTTCTTCCAGCTGTAAGTTAAGTTAATGGTGCAAAATAAATTATGGAAATTCTTCCTTCCACATCTTTTCCATCTCATTATTCACCATCATTCAATCACTGAAATTTGTTATATTCAATTCAATAAGCAACCATTTGATTCAACATGGCACTTAATCAATGACTGGATACTTCTGAGTTTTGGCCACCTGGCCATCTTTAATGGTTCCCACCAAAGCACTATAGGAAGTGAAAGTTCTATAGTCGACTGAGTTAAATTACCAATTTTAGGGGAGTTAAAACACAGTTACACATTCATAACTAAAACAAAATAATCTATGACCTGAGTGCAGATATCACAGCAGTCTGATTTTTGTTGTATTTCAACCCTTCAGTTGTTGGCAATCTAAAACATTGAAAGGTTTCTCATAATCCTGTCTGTCTAATCTCTCACACTGTATCCTATTGTGCCCCACAGAACTAAGCACCTGTTGTGACATTAGCCTTTAAATTTTATATCTTTGGGTGTTCTCTATTAGATATTCTGCAACAAAGTGACAGAGAAGTTACAATTTGATGTAAATCAGACAATTTCATTTACAGTTCACTGAACATATCTAAATATTTTCAAGATTACAGGTACATGAATAAATGAAGCAATAACAAAATAAATCAGTCAAATTTCTACTTTTTTAGGTTATCTGTTTACAGTCCAAGGAATGGGTGCATGGGTGCCGTGGGGGCGGGGGAAGCCTGGCATCTGCCCCTCTGAATTTCTTTTCCAGGGGGTGGGGAAGAAATTAGAATTTAATGAAAAAAGGAAACATACAAAATAATAATACCAAAATTCAAAGTTATTTAAAAAAATAATCTTCTATCCTGAATACTAAAATAATCAGCAAAAATAGTTGTGGCTTGATTATAAATTTTTGACCATATTTTCTGACTTATTCTCTTAATGCTGGCACTAATTAATCATTTCCAATTATTTTCAGTGCTGCAGTTTTTTAGTAAATGAAAATGATACCCTAAAACTTAAATCAGATTGATATATTTTATTGGATCACTATGCCACTCTTCCCTTACTGGATGCAAAGCCCAAGATGTTACATGTACACCACTGCATCATGCATGGGAATGGGATGGATTTATCACTATTTTTTTTTTCATTATTTTTCATATATTAATTAAGGGTATGTTGTTCCTTCAGTCCACCAGCATTTGACCTGCAGGCAGAATTACGTCAACACCGATCCAAATACCGCAAACGTCTTGAGCGCCAGCAACGACTGCTTGAAGGTCATGTGGCACCATGGTTGGAGAGTACAGGTCCAGCCGAATTCCGTGACTCAGAACAACCAAAGAAAACTTTACAGGAATACATGGATTGGGACGAAGAGGACACATCTGGTGATGCAGATTCTGATGAATTCACATGACTTCAACATTTAAGTATATTCTGCTTTACATAAATCTTTCAGTGAAATTTAAACATACATGAGAATTTAGATCTTGCAACTTCCAAGGAATGGGTGCATCAAAGTACAGTACTTACCATGTTTATTGCTGAATTTTATCTTCTAAAAATAGATGCATATGCATGTGATGACATTTCAAAACCCTACTATATGCTTCTTCCAAAAATGTACATTCATAAAATGCCTTCACATTCCTACTTTAGATATATAAGTAATATGATCAGGCAACACAGTGTTATTAACAACTGTGCTCCAATTCACAAAACAAGGTTATTCTGCAGATTTCACTGTTTTATTCTCTTCATTTCAAAATAAATGGTCAAACTTGATTACAGCAGTGATCAGTATTTCATTGCAAATCGTTTTCTCATTCTGTGAATATATAACTAAAAAAAAAAGATTGGATACTCTTCTCTGGGTGTATTCATTTAGCTTTCCAGTTTTGTATATGCAGTTCTCAAGCATCTATCCATCTGTCTTTTCTGAAATGTCTGACAGATAAAGAAAATCAACAGTATAAATGTTTCTTCCAGCTTTTCAGCTTTCAAAATTCAATACTGACACAGAAATGCCAAGTGTCATAACTTAATGAATATCCAATTCAGGTGACATATTTATGAAATAATAAATACATTCCAGAAAACAGCCATTTTTACACACTCTAGTCTTTACAAGTTATGATACCACGTAGACTTATAGGTGTATACCAAAGTTTCAGAGAAGCATACTGCCTCCATCTTCAGGGTAAACTACAAAAGATGTAATATGTTTCTCCAAAACACTTGTAACTGCCAATCAAACTACACAGTGTCATGACCTAGAAGACCACAATATGAATTTTCACTGCATGAAAATCTTGACTCTCATAATGGATTTTGAAAATTCACTAGTGTTTCACACTCCCAGGATGTATTAAAGAAAGAAATACGAGGGTTGTACTGAAAGTCATGAGCAACAATTTTTTGTAAATTAACATGCTTTATTATTGACAAACCAAATACACCACCTCAATCTACAGACCTTTCTTTATTTTCCCACATAATTGCCACTTCTTTGTGCACATTTCTCCTAGCGTTCTGGGAGTTTGAAAATTCCCCTTCTGTAAAATTCCGTTCCAGCCATCCGAAGGCACTGACGCACTGCTTTCTGAATTGCCTCCCTTGTCTCAAAACGTTGTCCATGCAGATGATCCTTCACAAATAAGAAAAGATGGTAGTCGGAGGGTGCCAGATCAGGGCTACAGGAGGGGTGTGGAAGAACTTCACACCCCATCTTTGCAATTGCTTCCAATATGAAGCAAGCGGCATGGGGGCGAGTGTTGTCATGCAGGATGATGATGTTTCGTCCCAGACGTTTATCGCGCAATGCATGACAGAGCTTGTGCAGCGTCTAGACGTAATGAGCAGCATTGATGGTTTGCCCAGGTTCCAAGAATTTGGCCAGAATAAACCCCTCTGCATCCCAGAAGACTGTGCCCATCACCTTCACAGCTGATGGCACTGTCTTTGCCTTCTTTTTTGATGGAGAATGCAAATGGTGCCATTCCATACTCTGCAGTTTCATTTCAGGCTTGAAATAGTGAAACCAACTTTCGTCACCTGTCACAATACAGAGCAAAAAATCATTGCCTTCATGTCGATATCTCTGCAGCAGTTCTGAGGTGATGGCTTTTCACTGACCTTTGTGGTCTTCGGTCAATAACTGTGGGACCCAATGAGCACAAACTTTCCTACAGCCCAAGCTTTCAATCATCTCCTGTACTTCACTGTGCCCTATTCCAAGTTTTCGGGCTATTGTGTCCACAGTCACACGCCTGTCATCTTGAATGATCTCATCCACTCTTTCCTTGTTGCGTTCAGTTGAGGCTGTTCGAGGACGACCGCTCCGAGGCTCATCTTCGATGCTGGTGTTCCCATCTTTAAAATGTTTCACCCATCTTCGAACACTGCTCGCACCCATGCACACACTTCCATAAGCACGCTGAAGTCTCTGGTGAATTTCTGCAGCAGGGATTTCCTCTTTCACAAGAAATTCGATGACAGCACGCTGGCGAAACGACATATCGTTGTCGGCCATTTTGTTAGGAGTGATACTGGTCACGTGATGCAAGCTATTGACGCCAGAAGACACTCAAGGTCAATACAACAGTTGGTTCCACCTACCACCGTACTCTCTTTTGTCTGCTGTTCCCAGGTTGCATGCAAAAAAAGGTGCTCATGACTTTCGGTACAACCTATATATATATATGTTGCTTTATGCAAGTACATGCCACAAACAAAAATGCATTTTCTAAATTTAGCGTATTCAGAACAGTGAATAAGAAGAAAACACAATTAAGAACAAAAATACTACTTTTGTCAAATACATTCCTGGAAACATGGCGGTAATATGAACTTAAAAAAGACTGACATCCCCCTACATATAGTTAATGGTTCATCACAGATCATAAAAGATTAAGAAAATTGTTTACTTTTACAAAGAATATGACTGTTCTTTTGAATTCCAAAAATTCAGATCCTGCTTTTGCTGAAATCCTTGTTGGTTGTAAAGCACAGAGATACAAAATAACAGTGCTGTTAGGACTACAGCATAAACAGACAGAGCCACTTGGGAACTGTGTACTTTGAAGGGGAGGGGAAGAGTTCAATGGGAGATATCTTTTTACGTACACTGCATGGTGTATCCGTGTGTGCTTATACATACAGTAGCAGTATATTTACAATGCAAGTACAAGTGCAAACTTTACACTGAAAACTAAATATTTTGTCATAAAACCATCTACACAATTCTGGAAAAGTATGTTATTACCATATATGTTTTGACCAATAAATTCTCTTAAAGTGCTTCAATTTTTCATCAGATTTTACTTAGTGGTTATTAGTTATTTTCCTTTGCTAATGAATGATCAGTTGGTAGTTTCTCACATCAGAAACATGCATCTAACATTAAACGTTTGTCCTAAGAATTTTAAATTATTTATTTTTTCAGCTTGATATATACTTAAACCTCCATCACTGTCCAAATTACACAACCTGCCACTGTATCACATTTGCTGTTTGACACACATAGTAATGGTAGTATTTCCACAAAGACGTTTTTAGTCAGCTTTACAGACTACTCTAATTCTTTTAAAAGCAGTTCAGAGTTAGAACTGGAATATGTTTCCAATTCATGAATGATTATTTGAACTCTCAGTTCTAGGAGCAGAACATGTCTCTGAAAAAAGTTCTCTAGGCCACCATAATGTGTTGCATTACAATATACTCCCAATTATCTGTGAATGGATCAACCAGTTTGTGTTTCTGTGTGTGCCTTTTCAGCAGTGGTCACAACTCTGTGGAGTGCCTATTAAGTTTGCTTAGTGCTTCTGTCTGTACGAGTATATGTGAATTAACTCATGAACCACTGGGCAGGTTACATGAAACATGATATTTGAGAATTTTACAAAGAATCATTGAATCATTTCAATTTTCCTTTTGATCAGACAATTTTAACAACCACTCTACATGAAGAAGTGTACTTGTTTCTGCATGTATCCTGAACATAAATTGCTAAATATTTATTGGAACAAAAAATGTTTCAAATAGGCTGTAGAAAAAAATTAACCATACCATGTTCACTACACATTTTCCATAAGACATGCATGGTTCTGAAGATACCTAAATGAACAGGACACTAGTCATGCTTTTCTAAATTTCTCCTGAACACACCAGAAACTTGGATTATCTTGGGTTTTCAATTATTCAAATGTCTTTTCACTTCATTAGTACAGTTAATCAGGAGTATATCATACTTTACAAACACAGTCTTTATCATTCCTGTGGAGAATTCCCCAGCTAAATGATTGCACACCATCAAAACTCAAAACACAGATTGACTGTTAATGGTTCTGTATATGGCCTGACCAAATCCTAAGATTCTGACAGGAGCATCATGTTTTCATGAAAGTATATGTAATTAACAAAAGACTTCAAGAGTCTTTGCAGGGGAGAGAAGAGAAATACTTGTATAATGGAACTTCCATTTCACATTCCTCAATTTATGGTTTTTCCTTATTTGAAGTTCAGCTTCAAAAACCCTAAGTCAATAATTTCAATGTTAAATGTCCTCCAGTTAAGAATTTCCAAGTTTAAAGTTTCAATCCATTGATCCCCAAAGAAACCACAAATCAGGTGTTCACTGACAGGAAATCCTGAAGGAAAGAGGCCTCTTGGAAGACACACATACATGGTAGAATGATATTACAAAGGATCTTAAAGAAACAGGAAAAGAGGATATGGACTGGATTTACATAGCTCAGGAGAAGGACCAGTGTTGGGTCCTTGTGAACACAGTAGCAAACCTCTGAGCCTTCAGGTTTTATAAAATACAGCAAATTACTTGGTAACTGAACAATTAGCTTCCCAAGAAGAATTCTGCCCCATGTGGTCAGTTGGTTAGTTATTTAGAAAACTGTAGATCTATATTTATTACTGATTCTGGTTCCAAAGCATCATGAAAGAGCAAGCTGATATACATAGGATGGAATACTGTATGGATACAACTGTCTCTTAGTGTTGTGAAAGCAATCAAGGTAGTCACTAGAACCACAGGATTACTTAGTCAGTCAGCGCTATGGTGTCGGCAAGTAGAGCCATTAGATGAGAAGCTGGTGATGTGATTCAAAAATAAATATGAGAGATATAAAATCGGACAATAGCAACAAAGTTAACGAGTCTACTCTTCATTATTACAGACATGTTCGATGTGATGGCATACAGACAGGTTCCTCCAAAGAGTGTGCACTTACATACTAAACAACATGGTCTCATTTGCCAGAAGACATTAATCTTAACACTGCTATGTCAAACTCGAATCACATGATTCATGTTCTTCGTAGAGCTATAAATTACAACTGTGCCCAAGACGAAAAGTACATATAGTTTTATGCAAAAGAGCAATAATTATTGTTATTTTATGTAGTTTCTATTCCTTACCCTTCCCTGTTCTGCCCCCTTGTCTGGCTACAGGCTAACTCTGGAGTTTAATTCCTGACAGAGGCACTGAATACTTTTCGCTGCGGTGTCCAGAGATACTCTGGGGTCTGCCAGTCTCTTATCCATCAGGCATCAGGTGAAAGCATACGACCGTTTACATCAATATAGTGCAATGATCTAGAATCGTTGCAGGTTTCCTGCATGCTCACACATGTCTTCACGCCAAGGTGCCAGGGCACAGGGACACCTGCATCTTTGCTTCTTCCATAATTTTCACACATATGCAAATGAACTCAGTTACTGAAGAGTACCATCACCTAGCAGCAAGCAGAGTGCTGCTTGTTACTCACTTGGCTCCCTCTTTGACTGCGCAGATGGAGGCAGTACAATACTCCAAAACATCAGTAAACTTCTACCAGATTATACAACATAAAAATCCCAGAAGACAGTACTTTTCACAGATACCACTGACAGAACATCAAATGTAACATAAACTCAGTTGTCATGAAAATCATTCCTCTTCGGCTGGGGCCACACGAGCGCACAAAATGTGTCCGTTGTAATGAATGTCATGACGTCCGTTGTAGAAATAAACAAGAGAGGCGAATGCTACGCTTTCTTCTGGCTCCATTGCAGACAAAAAACTACGCACCACATTCTGCAACTGTGTGGTATCCTCAGCAACGTCCGTCATAAAGTATGTTCATTGCAACGGACGTACTTCGTGCGCTTGTGTGGCCCCATCCTTATTCCACACATGAGGAACTTCACACATTTAATGAGGGTGGAGGGAATGTTATGAGTTAACACAATACAGATTATAGTCCTCTGAGATGTGATACCATTAGTTTAATACAGCAGCAGGAGGCAGTACTTTCCTCTGAAATGCTTATATCTTTCCATGACTGTCAAACTATATGGCAACATATCCCAGAAGGCAGTAACCTTCATAGTCATTGCTGTGAGGACCTCAGATCTCACATAAAATACAAGTAAATTTCACACAGAAACATTAAAATAAAAACTAAGCAGTGTGTATACCTAAATGCCAGGCCAAAAATATAACATTCAATGTTTGCTGCAAACCAAAATAACATTTGTAGTTTAAATAACACTTACTGTAAAATTAAAATGTTGTTACAGTACATTTATTGAATGAACTATGTAGGTCTTCATTTCTGAAAAGTGACATGAGTTCAAGCTTAGTACAGACCTCAACACCAAAGAATGCAGCATATATTAGCTGGGATCTGAGTAAATATGGTGCCTATTTGTCACTGTTCATCAAATTGTTTATTTCTTTATTTAATTTTATGCTCTGATCATAGCAAATCTTTTTGCTCAACCAATATGCAACATTATCACATAATACAATCATAAATGTGCCTTCATAGGTCTTTGTTCTTCAGTTCAGTTCACAGTCACACACATTTTCTATCAAGTTATGAACATATCAGAGATCTTCAAATAATACATCTACAAAATGAAGAGATAATGCACTGACAGGTACAGTACTACGAATTTTCCAGCCTTTCATATTATAATATCATAGGTCTTCTAGAATGTAACACCATGAGTTTACTAGGTATATAACGATTTTGAGGATCCTAATGCCTGCAGCACAAAGAGAGAGGCAGCAGATGGTTCCAAAAACTAGTACCTATCTACAATGCTGCCACCACATCCCATATGATCATCATCACAAGAACCTCAAATCACATTTCAAATTACATTCACACTTCTCTTCTAGGAACAGAACAGGTAAATATTTTTGTTTCAGACAAAATCTTGCTTAATTCTTGTTATACTGTAATACAGCTAGATAAATAATTCACAAAGGATTGTGAATCAACAAGTAAATTAAGAGTACTATCCTTCTGGGCTATAATGCTATGTAGTCCCTTGAAAGGGAACTGATGCTTTGGAGGAACATACCACCTCCATCTTCAGGGTCGAAGAATAAGCTGAGCAGGAGACCAGTGTGAAAGCAGGTGGCAAGCAATTCTCTGGTCAGTTGACTTTCAACAGACTACATGCTGTTATATCCAAGAAGATAAACTCTTCATAACCACCGGTGTGAGAACCTCAAATCCTACACAAAGTGTTGACTGATTCCATGAAACACTTGACTATTAGCATAGGCATCAGAGTATGAGCTGGTCCTATTCAGTCTCAGTATTGTGGAGCTTCAGAATGTTAACGTAATGAATGTTCTTTACATTTTGCGCTGCATTCAAACTCGTAAAAAAAAAAAAACAACAGAAACTTTTCAGTAACAGCAGTTCCTCAGAAAACAAAATATAACTTTAATGGAAGAGCTATATCAAACCATCCACAACTGTTTCATTATATAAGCAGGAATTAGTACTGAACACAATTACCAAAGTTTAGTAACTGTAACGAGCATGGTATAGTATCTATAGCATGAATCTGATAAACATTGCACTAAGAATTTTTATCAACAAGTTCATCAAAATATTTATCTTTTTGAAGTTCCATTATACAGAACTGTTGTTATATTACAGTTAAATTAATTTTCATTACCCGAATACATACATTCCTCAATACACAGAGCACTGATGCTCTTAAACTTTCATTGGATAAGAAAACTTAAAATGAATTGTATTATTTACCAATAAAACCTCCAAATACAAAGTATGGTGATAAATGTGAAAGAACAAGCAATGTTCAACATGTGATACTGTAATCCAAATCATGGAAATACTCCTAGATTACAAAACGAATGAAAGGACTAGGGCAATACATATGCTTTGTTAAAGAGTTAAATGCAGTAGACTTGGTTATGCCTTACACTCAGAACAATTTCTGTCTCTACTTTTGCCTCTTCACAAACATGTGGCTCCCAGTTAGAGGTCAAATAAATTTCAACAGGTAATCATCCTTTCATCACTTGTAAAAGAGGCAAAAAATATTACAGATTCCAACACATCACAGAAATTCAGTCAATTGTAACCTCCAAACTAATGATTCTAGTTATTTATAAAACCATGTCAGTCTTGACCTCATCTATTTACAACACAACATACTCACGCACTTGTTCCAGTGTCTCAGTATCAACAGTTTGCAATAGCTGTTCAAACTGTGATGCTCCAACTTGGTTTTGTAGCTCTGACAGCTGCCCACAAACACAACAAGAATATGAGATACTCATCATATATCTTTTAGATAGAGACCTCACGAATTGGAGGGCTCCTCTCCTCAATACCTCTATACATATGTGAGTCGCAATTCACAAGCTTAAATATTTCCATACCTACATAATAAAATTTAAATACAGACTATCACAAGTCTTTCATTAGGAAGAGCTACCATATTTATCAGTGTACCACATGCACTTGTTTTCCTGAAATTTACATTAGGACCCACATCTTAAGAAGGATCTTCATTTCTGAATGGATCAATCAACATTCAAGTGTTGATCATGGTTTCATCGAGACAGTTATCTGATGCACACAGTAACACACATCCTGCCTTCTTTTACAGCAGTAAGTCACTTCCAGCAGTGTGCAGGTTTTTCACTTGTGAAATCATATGCCAAGGTAGTCAGCTGAGCACACGGAACTGACTTTAGTAGCACACACATGTAGTTGTAAGGAGTAGATACTGTGGCATGCAGGCCCACTGCTAGGCAATGGCTGAGTAGCGATCATGTGGGAACCCCAACAGACATGAGTGCAACAATTGCACAGCAACAGAGGAAAAGTGTTTTTTGTGTGGTCTGTGCCAAAATGTTAAAAACAGAAGTTAGTAAGAGGAGTTGAGTTAGTGAGCCAGTCAAGAGTTGCTGTAGTTGAGGCCGAGGACAGTTTGGGAACCCAGAGGAAGAGGAATGTCCACTGCTGGAAGCTGTTACCAGAAGACTGGTGAAGACACAGCAGGCTGAGAAAACTTAAGTTTGTGCTCTAGTGAACTGTAAAGTGTGTGAATTAGTAAAACGGATATAATTGCTTGTAGACGGGGATCTGTAAGAGTTCAATAAATCCAATTACCAATCCAAACCCATCTATAGTCACTCCAACACGTGACAACACGTTCTGTTACACAGGTTATGGTTACTGTATATGTATTAACATGAGTAAGGGATTGAGCAGGTTTACTGTGAATGAGAAATTAAAAATAATACATGAGGCAGAAGAAGTAAACTGTGATTGTTTGCTTGGCTGCGGGTGTTTAAGCAGTGATTATGAAGAGTATGATTTTCTGAATTGTAACACTGTGTAGTTTGGAGAAAGCCTAATATTTCAGGGGAACATACAGCCTCCATCTTCAGCGTCAAAGTTTGCCATCTCCTTCTTCTGAATTCTTGCTTGATTTACTATTCAACTCTGAGGATGGAGACAATGTATTCAAAACACTGAGCTTTCTCCAGTGACACAAAGTTACAATCCAAATCACCATACTTGTCATTCTGAAGCCATCTTCGTTTTTTTTTCTGGATGACACTATAAGATGTCCCACATATCTGGAACCATTCAAACTAATGGAGTCTTGACACAGCTGTTGCAAAACATGCTCAATATATTGTAACGTGGATGGCGTAGCGGGAGGTGGGGGTCGCGTGAACTCTGTGATCTTGCAAGTGACGTCACATATCTCCACTCTGTCCATCAGTGTGCAACACTTGGTAGACATCCCTTTCCCCTCGGTGACGTGGCGGCGCCAGGCAACCATTTCCGCAGTGATGTAACACAGGATGCCATGGTTGCTATGCAGCAGTAAACAACTCCTGACAGCGTTGCTAGGCTATCGGCAAACACGGCGTCAGACAACAGCAGTACCTATCACATAACTGTTTTCTGTCTTGTCCGTGCCGAGGCTAAATAACGAGCATCGAACACTATTCAGAGTTAGCTGCGAGTTAGCCAGGCAGTCAGTTGAGTTGAGTTGAAATGTAGCCGTCGCCGGAGACAGCTGAATTGGAACAGTCACCGAGTTAAGTTGCAGCAGAAAGAAGAATACCGTAACGTGTGATTAGAGGTGATAGCGTGAGAAGCAGATGCTTGGCTCACAAGAGAATTGAGAGTGTGTAATACAGTGACACTGGTATAGCTCCCGCATCATACTGTGAATACGTGTAGACTACTGAGGGCAGAGTGGACAGATTATTGTGTAGGGTTGTAAATTGTGTAACCCTGTAAGAGTGTTGTAATTAATTGTAGCCGAGACTTGTGGGTTGTTAAACCAATTAACAATCTGAACGGCGTCTTCAGTGGCAAAACGCACTACAATATCTTATCATTTGCACTGACACAAATGTGATGTTCTTGCCAGTTCAAGAAAATGGCATTTTTCATTTTTCAGGATGGCCTAAGTTCTCAAAATTACCAGGTTTTCAGGCTTTGTCCATCATCCGGTATTCTAGAAACTAGAAAAAGCAACATTTCATAAACTGGATCTGTTTCCGTCTTCAGGGAGGTGGGGGGGGGGGACCCCTGCTCTGTTGGGCCCCTTAGAAAGAGCTAACCTCAATCAATCCAGTTTCCAAAACGTTGTGTTTTCTAGTTTCTAAAATGCCAGCTGATGGATAAAGTCCACAAACCAAGCAATTCTGAGTGTTATACACCACTGTCAGACCCCTTTAAAATCTACATGGCATAAGTTGCTTGTGATGTGATCTCACCTTATACAGTGACAATTCGCCTTTGAAGATCCTACTGCATAATGAGATACCTGTATTATAACAATATTAAGGATAGCAGCAGAGACCCTGCTTTGCATACTCACAATCCAGTCATAACATCCAATATTGAAAAAAATACAAAACACAGGTTTCAAGAAACTCTTCTAAATAAGTATTTTTCATGAAAATGTGAAAGATGATCACAGAGAGACTACTGTTGGCAGATCAACCAACCAGAAAATTAGTAACTGCTAACAAACTGTACACTGCTGGTGTACCATGATACCATAATCTCATGCAGCACCATAACAGTTATACTGTACAAACAGAAGAGATGCTGTTTGTACACTGTATACCTTCATTCTTTATTTTTTCATATTAAACGTGTCTAATTCTCCACAGAAGAATTACTGTCGACTTCTACTGATTTCTTTGCTGTTTCTTCTTTCCCTGAATTTAACTCCTGAATACTGAGGTGTGCATCATACATGACGGCATATGGTGCACGAATAAATATGGTATACTGAAAAATAAGTTGAGTAGAGGAAAGAAAAGTTACCTGAGTTTGAAAGTAGTCCCTGAGGGCAATGGTATGTACCGGGTCTGAAAGTGCAACCTTTTCACGACGATACTCATGTTCGGATTCAAAGTCTGCATCAGTATCCTCAGCTGGACTTGAGTCCTTCGTCAGCACCAATGCACTAGAGTAAATACATTACACAGTGAAGTCCCTATTTAATGAATCTCTGAGGGAATCACAAGGTATGTAGTTTAATCTAATAGTACAGTTGTCCCTGTGCTTAATTAATTAAGCACCATGCCATGAAGACATATGAGGGAGTGGAGGTATAGCTTCACCATTCTTGACCTTGGTACTAGTTGGAGGTGAGTGGTTAGCTTCATGCCCCGGCCACTCTACCCCCATGGAAATTGCCCCCAGTATCCATTAGACAGGAGGCTGGGTGGGCCCTAGAGCTGGTCTGGATGGTGTGGAGAAGAGAAAAACCATGCCCCACCATGAAACACACCCGGGCCATCCAGCCCGTAGCCCATCACTATACTGACTCCTACATGGTTTAATCTGAGATACTATAAATAAATACAACCACTCCTCCATACGCCTTCATGGCATAGTGCTTAATTAGTTAAGCAAAGAAACAAATTTACCTTTCATTATAAATAAAAATATCATGCATATAGGGTTCTATCAGAAAGTTCCTGGACTGTTATGTTGTAACTACCTTGGTGAAAGAAGATGATAGGGGAGGCCAAGGTCACACTTCCGAAAGCCTATTGCATCAGTCTCCCACATGACACGTAGCTGTGAACACACATTGCTTTTGCATGAGTGCTTTTCCAACTTCATGTTTCATTTTGTCTGAGATGGATGGCAAAATTGAACACTGTGCCTGCATTAAGTTTTGCGTGAAGCTTGGTAAATCTGCTACCCATAACCTTCAAATGCTTTGTGAGGCTTCTGGAGAACATTCTTTAAGCTAGACAGCGGTTTTTGAATGGTATCCACGTTTCAAGGCAAGTCGAGAGTCAGCTGAAGATGACAAAAATTCATAGTAACCAAGCACAAGCAAAATGAGAGAAAATTTTGAAAAAATTCAAGAACTCGTCCACAAAGACCATCGCTGAACAATCCATGAGCTCATAGACACCACTGGGATCAGTTATGAGTTTGCCAGGAGATCTTAACAGAAAATTAACGTGCACTGCATTGCCATGAAGTTTCTTCCCCACCTCATGATAAATGATAAAAAGCAGTGCTGCATAAATGTGTCTTTTGAGCTATGAGAGAAGGCTAGCTAGGACCAAATTTTTATCTCTAGGATCATGACGGGTGACAATACGATTTACAGTTATGATCCAGAAACAGCTCAACAATCACTGCAGTGGAAAAGCCCAAACCAAAAGCACAAAAGGTGTGGCATGTTTGGAGTTCAACAAAGAGCATGCTGTCTTTTTTTTTATGTGAAGCGGACTGTTCACCGGGAATTTGTTCCTCCTAATACTATGGTCAACTTTGCCTTTTACTCGTACTGTGATGTTCTGAGACACTTGAGACAAAATGTGCGAAGAAAAAGACCGAACTTTGGAGTAACCACAACTGGCTCCTTCATCACAACATACTTGCCCACATGTCCCTGTAAATTACAGAGTTTGTGACAAACAACATGGCTATCATTCCCCATCCTCCCTACTCGCTGGACTCAGTCCCCTGTGATTTCTCTTTTTTTCCCAAATTGATAATGAAACTGAAGGGGCGATGTTTTGAAACAGTGTCTGACAACCAAAGGGAATCACAAGCGGTACTCGACAGTATTAAGGAAAATGACTTCCACGGTGCTTTTGCGGCATGGGAAAAAAAGATGGTATCACTGTACATGTTTCCAAGGAGACTATTTTGAAGGTGATGGCAGCAAAAGTTGAGTGAGTTAGGCCAGCATTTCTTTTCTAACCTAGTACAGGAACTTTCTGATAGCACCTCATACATATATCACGTTTTACTGAAACAAGCACAAAATATCTTCCCCTGAAATTACAGAAATGGATGTTGTATGCTGACTATAAATTTTAAATAATAAATGCTTACTCAAACTGGAAACCCATGTCATCAGTCTTGGTGATGTCATTTAAGGCTTCTGTTATGTTGAGCAGAATGCCACAGAACCTCTCCAGTACAGCACTGCAACACATAATGCCATGTCCACTTGATGCTTAATGCAGTTACAACTAGGACCCTGCTAATTATAACACTTTCAACATAATGGTCCTATTTTGCCCCACATTCAACATAATTTTTTATGTATTTTAGTTTATACAGCAAACAATAGTAAAACACCATAACAGGTTGAGGCTTCCTGGAATGTCCTTAACTTATCCCAAACATGCAAAAGTCATTGCTGTTAGCAGCAGCAGCAGCAGCAGTAGCAGTAGTAGAAGTAGTATGAATGAATGTATGAGGAGCAGGCCTTCTCGCCCTTGCACCGCAACCTACAGTGGTCTATTGTGCTCTAGTAGTAGTAGTACTGGAATAGGCTGCCAGGCAGGAGTGAGATATGTATGCTCCAATCTACACTGAAGATGCAAGTCTCATGCCCAATCCTTGTTAGTATAAACATGCATGTATTTCCAGAAAACACCTTGGTAAATTAATTGTTTATCTATGGCCATATGTGATAGCTTCCAAATGCAGATAATAATGTCCTCATTATATATATGCTCTTGTCAGCCTGTCACAATTAATATCAACATACTGTTCAAATTTAAACATTTTTATCATGGAGACAGAATAAAATTTAATCTAAATAACATCAGTGAATACTAAACAAGAATGTATATATACATACAACTACTGGTTAATTTTAAGTGAAAGTTCATAGGTCCACTTTTTCGCTTAGTGGGGGGTGGAGTCTAGCTGGGTCCACTCGGCACGGTGGCCACTGACTGGCCTATTGTACCCGCCCCAGGTGATTATGATGATGGAGATTTTGGTGGAATGAAGACTGGCAGGGAAAACAGAAGCACTCGGAGAAAACCCACTCCAGCGCCACTTTGTCCACCACAAATCCCACTTGATCAGACCTGGGATCAAACCAGGGCAGCCACGGTGGGAAGCCAGTGACTAACCGCTTGAGCTAGGGTGCAACCTACAGGTCCACTTACTACTAGTGTGTAGACTCCATGCTACAAACAGATAACTCATAATGATTATGAATAAATATTGTCATGTGTAGGGTGGTACATGTGGCAAATAATTGTGGGTTCTAGTTCAGATGATTGGATTTATTAGCACCTTGGTTACAAGTTCTCCTAATCATGCTTAATTACAGTGCTATTGCTGATTTACACACTCTCCAGTTCACTGTTGCACATGCATTAGGATTCCCAGTCTTCACTACTTATCTCCAGGCAATGGATCTCAACAAAGAGATTAGCACTTCAAATCGCTTTGACGTCTTTTTGCTATTTTGTCTTCAAACATTCTCGAAGCTTGGAAGTAAAAATCCTTCTGTACTCATTCCTCCAGCTTACAACTGACTAACTGCCCTTGAACTAAAACGTTCAGTGCATTCACTTTTCTAATAAGCACTCTGCATACTGCACTGTGCACTAATCTCTCACTCTAGTCTCAGCTATAAGAGATAGTTCTCACATAAGCTTCACACGGACCACATAGAAAACATCTTTCATTCTTGACTCCTATTGTTATAACACACTCAACTGAACCTGTTATTCTCACTGTATCCTTCATGACACCCATTTCTTTCTTGTAGTATTTGTACCTTAATATGCCTTTGATTTAATTCCACCTTATTTATTTTGTAACACTCCACAGGAACCTTACCCCTGCTTGCAATACAGTGACCTCCTGAGAAATGACACTATGAAGTCTGCCTAAAGACGGAGATCATATGTTCATGTGAAATTTTGATACCAATCTACCAGACAACACAGTGTCACAAATCAGCAGACCACGATATGAATCTCTGCCACCATCTCAACCACAAATTTCATTCATCTCTAGTTCTTGTGAAGTTCTCAAGTAAGAAAAATGCAGATTCACAATGTAATGTAGAACAGATACGTGGGTTACTTCAAAAGTCATGGCAACTAATTTTTTCTGGCAAACACTTTACAGTGAAGAAAGTTCAAAATATACAAGGGCATGATATACCCCTCCGGTTGGCTTAGTCAGATCAGGTAGATGTGATGGGGTGTAGGTATAGTAGGCAAGAAAAATGTCACATTATGAAATGACTGTTTTTCTTTCATTCTTTAATCCTCGAAAAATTCGATTGTGATTAAGAAATAAAAAATTCAATGTGAGTTAAATCTGCAGAAAGGACTTGTAATACACTGCACTGACAGTTTGACCATGTGGAACAAAATGACACAGAATAACTGCCTGGACATCATATGCTAAAAAATGACCATTAACTTAACAGGGGATGGGTTTCGATGAAACTTGTGCTTTCACAGCTACTCTGGATGTTGCCACTCAGCAGATTGCCGTTTAAGGTCAGGTTCGTACGCCCTAGCCCATATTTCATCGGTGGAAATTATCCGATTCAAGAAACTGTCTCCTTCAATTTCATATCGTTCGAGGTTCGCATGACTTACTTCATAACGTGTCCACTTTTGAACCTCGTTTAATTTGTGTGGCACCCACTTCGCTGCAATCTTGCGCATGTGTAGGTCTTTACGTAAAATTCGATGCACAGTTCCCTGGTCAATCTCTGTATGTCTCTCTAACTCCTTCAGAGACCAGCGCCTATCTTCCTCCATGCACTGGGTGATCACGGCACGAGAAACATCGGTACGAACGGACACAGGGCGTCCACTATGTTGCAAGTTGGCATTTGCTTCTCTTCCATGTTGGAATGCTTCTATCCACCTTGCAACAGTTCTGTATGGTAGAACACGATCACCAAGAGCTTCCACAAGCTCTGAGTGACATTCTGTCGCATTTCTGCTGTGAAGCACTGCTATTTTCACGTAACAACGCTGTTCCAGCCAATTAATGTTCATTCTCAACGAAGGTTATGATTGCACTGACTTTGCGCTGGACTCGTTTCATTGTCCTTGGACTTCCGCATCATCTAGCAGCATCATTAGAAATTAGATGTTACTGTCTCTCAGCAGCAAATTTGGAAATTCCGGTCAGAGCTTTCGAAATTTTGGAAAAATTATGTTGCCATGACTTTTGAAGTAACCCACATTTTCTTAACACGCTGTTGAAGTACATATGAAAATTTCATTCATTCATTCATTCATTTCCTTTATTTTCCATATATCCATACAGGTAACAAACCTAGGATGTGGAAATGGTCCCTTCGAAAATAGATATATCAAGATACATATACAAAATTACATGAGGAACATAATCAAAACCATTTACATTAATTGTTTAACATGAATAATAATATGAAGTAAAAAATTTAATAAGATAATTTAAAAATAATTACTATAAAACTTGAATTAATATAATTTCATTTAAATTACCTATATTAACTGAATTACATACATTACAAATTTACACACTTATGGCCAATTATGTTGATAATATTCATTCATGGAATAAAAAGGATGATGATATAGACACCTCTTCAATGCAGATTTAAAACTGCTCACATCAGTAGCCAACATTTTTATTGTTTGAGGAAGATGATTAAAAACTTTAATACCTGATATGTACGCACCTTTATT